ACCCCCACCCCCAAACCCCCAAGATGACCTGTCAGCTTATTGGGTCAAATAGTGTAACCTAGCGGGTCAAAATGCAATCCAAACCCAAGCATACAAATTCATATCAAACGTGGAGATAGGGAATTATTTTAATTGGACGAACTTAACTTAATAATTTAAGAAAAATACATTAGCTTTTAAGTTTCTTTTTTCAAAAGCAAAATAAAAAATGGAGGTAAGTTCATGCTGGTTGGGTTGGGTTATGACCCGTGTTTTGACCCATCTTGATCCGAACGGGTTGAGTCATCACTGCTTAGTGTTTTGACCAGTCGTTTGACACCTCTAACCAAAGGATTATTTTAGGTAGCACTATGCAGAATGAAGTAGTTAAGACAGAAGAAGAAAAAATGTTATGGATTTGTGAATATGCAAGAATTCCACCAAAATCTTGTATGGAAGACTGTAATACCTGGCATGAAGTAGCTGTGCCTGGAGAAGGAATTATTGGAGCAAATATCACAGTAAACCAAACCCATGACAGTGATCTGGGAATTAGCCACTTTTGCTGCTGATGAAGCCTCAACATCCAAAGGAAATGGTAAACACAACCACAAGAAGCAGCATGAAATCACCAAGAGGAAAACTGTAGTAGTAGTAGTAGTCATGGCAACAGCGCAGACTGACCTGAGACTTTAAGAGTTAAAACTCTGATAGCAACAGATAAAACTACTTATATGTGAATAGCTATCCCCTGCTAGCTCTAAGCTAGTAAAGCTAGTAAATCGAGCAGCTAGCCTATTTTAAAATAAGTTAAGAAAACACACACAAAAAAAGACTAGCTAATATTGTTGAAAAATTCTATAATAAAAAAAGATGTGAGAGTGGGTGTATGGATAATAAGTACCAACGACAGAAATGAAAAAGAGATCAAAGTTAGAAAGAGGGAGACAAGGATCGGACCTTATTGTATGCACTCTGCAGCAGTTACTAGCTATTCAGAATTCACAAACAAACAAAGCATGTGAACTTTCTTTGGAAGTTTGTAAGGGTGGATGTGTAGGAAAGAGAGTATGGTAAGAAATAGACAATTTGCATAGAGAAATAAATAGGTCCCCCACCTTTCATTTTCTTGAATTATGTTTGGAATTTATGATGGTCTTGCTTCTTAACGTGATATAAATTAACAAGCCTTCTAGCTGCTTCTTGAACTTCTTGCTAGTTGCTACTGTCTATTTATTATCTCAACTACTTTTTTTTTCTCTGTTATTAATCGTCTGGGCTGAGTGAAGGATTGTTTCTACTGAGAATCATGTGATCATAGATGAAAGAATTAAGCCAAGCATAACTTCACATTTATTGTAAGTAACTTGTACGTTGACCTCTCATCTTTATTTCTTTGTAGATGTATTCATTGTTGTAGAGAAATGGCTTCATTGCACTTAACTTTTGTTACTCGCTTTTCCATCAATTATAGAAACTGCCTGCAGTTGGTTATGTCTAAACAATGACGAACCAATGAAAATACAAGGAGCCGAAACATTTTCAATATTGCAATGAGACCATAACCTTTATTTTAACCACGTATCAAGCTAGTTGTAAGACCGTTTATTGGGTTAGTTACAACTAAGGCTGTAAAATGAAGTTGTTGGGCCGAGTTTGGTGAAACCCATCTACAGATTACTTGGGCTGAGTTAAGTGGGCTAAATAGTGGGGGAAGTGTACGGTTAGCCACTAATTAGAGATGTCTTTACTCTTTAACCACTGTTTAAAATGTATTTACTCTTTAACCAGTGCTTAATAAATTATTACCCACCCGGACGAAAATACCCCTGTGCTAGACATGGGTGTTGTATAAATATTAAGGACATGATGTCCTTAACTTCATGAATGTTATGTAAATATTAAGAACAAATTGTCTTGTATTTGCACCTTCCGTTATTAAACTTTAGGGCATCATGTCCTTGACTTCATATGTACAGTGTGAATGTTAAGGACATGACGTCCTTAACTTCATATATGTAGTGTAAATGTTAAGGACACCATGTCCTTTATATTTACACAGCACTCATAAAGAAAGGGTAAAAACGTCTTTTCGTATTAGTTTTAATAGAGTAGTAGCTAATTTTGCTCAGCATTAAAAATACTGGATAAAAACTAAATACTATATTAAAAAGTGGCTATCCCACGTCATTTCTACCTAAATAGTGGGTCATGGCGAAACCCGCCTAACTCTTACCGAAACCCGCCTAACTCTTACCAAGTTTGAGTTTTTTTTTTGTTAATTACCAAACAAAACTAATATGTAAAACTTTTTCTTTAAGACCAGCAGAGCATTTTACAACTGAGTTGAGGGAGTTGTGCTACTACTAGCCTCCCTAGTGTATCCTGGAAGATAACAAAAGCTACCTTAGATACCATTGGAGGTGAGGTTAATGCATATTGTGTGTGGTAGCAAAAGCTACCTATCATGTTTAATACTATAATTTTTAAACGTTGTTATTTCTTTTTTTAAAAATAAAAAATGGATGGATAAGTAAGAATTATGAAATTACTAGAAAAAGGTATACTATGAATTAAGTTCCTAGAGAATCTCTGCTTAATTCTATATTTGTTCTCCCTTCTTTTCTTGCTTTATTTTTCTTTACAGTCACTCCCATTTAGGTGATATAACGGATCAACGATACTTAGTTATTTTGTGATCTCATTTCGTAATTTAGGTAAGTGTATTTATGATTAAGAAATGTGCTGAAGAGATACCTGAGTCATGATGACACAATCTTAATTGGGTCCGAAGAAATTCCTTTGAAAGGGAGATTAGCTTTTGGCGTCTTGTACAGAAACTTGGTCGTGCGGTTTGTATCCTTTTTTTTCCTTAAAAATAAAAATTTAGGGGACACGTTGATTAGTCTGCTAATAAAACATGTTCATGAAGTTCCTACGAAATGTACGCCTTTAGGTTTAAAATAATTGTAATACTTCTGTATTAACTTATAGTTAGTCTTTAGATGTTAGTATAAACTACTTTATTAATTAGAAAGCAAAATGTTAAATTGATATCTTGGATATTATCTTTCTGATTCTGACTCTGTTTCTGTCAATTAAATTTTTTTTATGTAACTAGTCAGATGAAAATTTTACTTATGTATAACTCATCATATATATAAAACAGGTTAAACCTTTTTTTATGAGTTACTTTCACTCACATGCTTCCACTCAATTCTAACACGTGAATGTTTTAGTTACGCAAATTAATCCACATCTCATGATTAATACTGTAAATTTGAACATGTAATATTCTTTTGCGAAGAAAAGATTATAGTGCATATTACGTACCTTTGCTTAGACAAAATCAAGTACTTGGAGTTGTAAAATACAAGTTTAGAACAAATGATTTGCATATATATATATATATGTAAGTGTTACCTTTTTTCCCTTTTCCCTTATATATGAGGGTCTCGTTTTTGTTTACTTTGCAAGCACTGATTAGAGGTCTTCCGAACGTCTTTCTCTCAAAGTCTTTTCTTTCTTGCGGAGAATTATATTTAATGCCAAAAGAAAATAGATTTAAGCATGGCATGATAAGCTCTCCCTATTCATGAAACAAATTAATTAAGAATTACCTATATTCTGTAGGATTGCGTATAGGTATTCGTAACACGCGGCGGAAGACAATAACAATCCTAGACAGATCTTTTCGTGTTTAAAAATTTATTTACATGCCAATAAATCGGATCTAAGACGTACCTGGTGAAGAAAGTCTCGTTTCAAATTCTTCGATAGTGCGAAGACTCTATGCGTATCCATACCGAGACCGATCCTTACTATCAACTCTTTGATCAATGAAATCCGTGAACAAATTGAACGAAAATTACTATGCTGAAATTCTTCTCAAAATTTCAGCCCGAAAGTAAAAGAAAAAAATTAATTTTCTTATAAAGAATAGTTCTTGACTTTTTGCGGCACACTTACACGCTTTTTTCACACACCTCATGTTTAGGACTAATAGGTATTTATTATAGTACCAATTAATAATTCATTCTTAGAAGGTTTAGGAAAATTTGAGGCGGTGACCTACTGTAGCACAAGACCAAATTTGGACTTCTC